TTTTTTTATAAAAGAGCACTTGTAGTTTCTGCTATGACTGGCGGTGAGGATTTCACTCCCCGGGGCTCCGAATGTTTCGTCGGATGGGCCGCACTTTCGCTTGTGTGGGACGGAAGGGGCGAAGTCCCACTAGCACAGAGGATTTTCGATTTATCGCCTGAATCTGGATGTGTTTTATGCACAGATGCAGAAAAGCAGTTCAATCTGTATTTTTCTTCTGCACCTCTCAACGAATCCGTCCCCATTCGGGCATTCAATCCACTCCTCCTTGCTAGTAGCCCGTCCGCGGGCACGGTTCCTGGCCTGAGTAAAGTTTCTTTTTGGGAGGGAAAAAAAAGGAAAAGAATCCGAAGACGACGAATTGATGCACAAAATTTGTGGATCTCGAAGGAGGATAATAATAAATTACTTAAAACAAAAAAATTCCAACAGCCGTTTTTCGACCATGAAAAAAGAAAAACGACTTTAAACAAGGTAATTCAATTTGACCTTGATTTGTTTTAGCCAGTTTCGTCGTGATAGTAGCGATGGAGGGGTGCATTCTCCCCCCACTCCCCCTTCCCCCCAAATGATTAAGAACGATTATTAATTTTCGGAAATGTGTTTTGTTGCCGTGTTGCGATGTGTGGCTGTGTGTACTGATCTCTGGACAACTTGGAGGATTTATGCATATAATTTCATTGATTAATATAATTTATTTGTATGTATGTATGAGTCAATCCATCAACGAATCAACGGATAGATATTATCGATAAATAAAATACTAATAATCCATTAATCAATCAGCTGATCCCACGGTTGCAATTATTCATCCCGGACAACCAACCCCGAGGATTTATACTCAGTTTCTTCGATTAATTTTTTAATGAACTCAATCAACTAACAGTCAACTTTTTTTCTTTTTTTTGAATCTCCCTCGCACTTTTTTTTTTGGCCTAAAACGGCTAATAATTTTATTATTACTTATCGATGAATAATACAAGTAAATCTTTCAACTATTACGGTTGTAAATTTCTTAATTCTTTCTTTATTATTATTATTTTTAATGCTATTGATTCTGACGGTGTATTTGGAAACATCCGCAAACCCACACACCTTTGCTGCAAACCCACACACGTCTAATGCTATTGATTCTAACGGTTTTTTTGATAATGCCATTGATTCTGACGGGTTTTTTTTTTATGCTATTGATTCTGACGGCCTATAACAATTTTTTTGATAATGCCATTGATTCTGACGTTTTTTTTTTTTATGCTATTGATTCTGACGGCCTATAACAACACCATCACCGCCCCCCTTCCGTCCCAAATACAAAAATTCAATAAACTAAAAAAAAGAAGAGATATGAAACGTGTTTTTTTAATGAAACAAACTATAAGAACTACTACAAAAGTAAATGTTAGAAATATATGAAAATATCAAATATAATAAATATATTAAAAACTGAAAAAAAAATGGTGCAGACGATTTCAAACCTGCATCTGTGGACCGTACGAAGCCGGGATCCATGTTTAAGGATGCGGAAAATAAGATAATTGTTGAATTTAGGAATAATCAAGCAGGGAAACCGAAAGTTGGATTTCAAGGTATAAATGAGCAGTGCAAGGAGTTGGAGGGGATTGTCTTTTTCGATGGCAAGGAGATTCGACTGGAGCGTCTCTCTCGAGCCGTGAAGAGCTTGCGCCATATCCGGACCTCGACCACTGACGCGTCTTCCTCTCAAGCAGGAGGGTTGGGTGCTTCCTCCCCCGAGCTTCCTCTGGACTTGATTGGCAATGGTGGCTTCTTTAATGGTAATAATAACCTTCCCGGAGGAGTAGCCGTGGAGAGAATCTCTCTGAACGGGGGAGCAGCAGGAGTGCCGAGCTCGGTGAGTACCACCTCCTCTCTCCTCTCTCCTCTCTCCTCTGTTCTCTCCTCTCCTCTTCCCTCTCCTCTCCTCTCCTCCTCTTCCCTCTCCTCTTCCCTCTCCACTCTCCTCTCCTCTTCCCTCTTCCCTCTTCCCTCTTCACTTTCCTCTCTCCTCTCTCCTCTCCCCTCTCCTTCTCCTTCCCCTTCTCCTTGTTGTTGTTCTTCTGCTCCTCATTTTCTTCCCTCCTCCGGTCATGGTTTCTTCTGTTGTCCCTCCAGCCTTGGGGCTGCTGCTGGCATCCAGGTCGGGATACGGACCTTACGTGTCTGGTTTCTGGCTGGCAGACTTTCAGCACAGATCGACCTGGACTCTTATTCCCAACTCCTTCCTCACTCCTTCCCCCTCCCCCGCCCGGTAACCCAGTCTCCCCCAAGTCCCTTGTTCATCTTCGTTTCTCCGTCATGTGAACGACTCGCTTGTTCGCCGTTTCCTTCTTGCTTGTTTGAGCATGGTTATTTATGTGTAGGCTATTGATCGATTGATTGATCGACTGTATTGCTCATCTTTTCGGAACATGGATGCGTAGCGGTCGAGCTCGCTATTTCAATTGAATTGAATTGAAGTCTTCTTCTTTTGCCGCTGCTGCTGCTGCTTGGTGTTTTGGCTAAGTAGAGAAAAATACGAGCTGCATATTAGTTTTTTTCAGCGAAGCGACGAGACCAAACAAAATCGTAAACCAGTTAATCAACCATTCAACGAACAAATTCCCCAACCATCGTTTTCGGACAATGGATCAGTTGGCGCACTAATTAATAAATCAATTAACCAATCAATCAATCATCAATCAATCAATCAATCAATAAAGAAATCGATCGGATCGACAGATCAGTCAATCAATCAATCGGTTAATCAGTCAATCAGCACATCCAATCTAGTTAATCAATCACTCAATCAATCAATCACTCAATCAATCAATCAACACAGTAAGTCTTGTTATTAAATGAGCCCTTCATCTGAGGCGTGTAATCAATCAGGTCTATCAAGCCAACACATCAGATCCGCTCACTCAGTGCCAATGGATAAACAGTGAATCAATTAATCAGTCTCTGTTAGTTAATCAATCAACAAATCAACCAATGAACAATTCTATGTCAATCAATCAATCCATCAATGAATCAATCAGTCAATCAGTCAATGAATCAATCAATGAATCAATCAATGAATCAATCAATGAACCAATCAATGAATCAATTAGCCAACTGACCTGCCAACGAATCAAGCAATCATTCAATTAATTAAAAATGAGTCAGGAGGGAAAAATAAGATGGGATAGATGATTCGACCTTGGATGATGTAGGAAAGATCATGCAGGCGAATCTGCTAAACATGAATTAGTATTTTGATAGCTGACTGGATGAGATTCAGTCAACCCTTTACCAGATACTGCTGGCCGTGCAGTGAAGGGGAGGACCACTAGCCTCCATACCTAGCAGGCCAAGTGTCCATCAACAAGTGACTTTTCCATCGCCGGCTCCATTGCCAGCGATGACAGCCCCCTTTGTTCCACAATTTGGTGTCCCACCAGGTGGTACGTCAACAGCTTCTTCATCTTCAGGTCGAGCTGCTGCAGCTTCAAGGCAGCAGACGGCTCAGCCCGCCTGACAGATTGGACCCCAGCAACCTTGGTACCCGAAGACCCCAATGAAACCCCGGATTGTCTTCAGAGGAGACAAGAAGGACGAGGCCCTTGACATTTGGTTGAGGTCGGTTCCATTGTGGGTAAGGGCCAAGCGTACGCTGCGTGAGGAGTAGGTGATCATTGCCGCTTCTTATTTAGAAGGATCGACAACAAGATGGCTAAATAGGTACGTAGCGACACAGGGCTTTGCCAGACGGATGAACGACTGGCCGTAGACCCAGACACTTAAAAAGCTTCATGGACCTAGTGCTCAACGGGCTCAACAAGCCATTGATGTGTTGACCCTTCTTGACACTAAGAAATTCAAGAGGGCGCGAGAACTCACAAGTGCCGTGGAGAAACTGGTAGTAGTACCGGAGTTCGCTATGATCCCCAAGTCCTCCTAACCATGTTCTTGAGATGACTTCCCACATACATCAAGAATCTGTTGGTTTGTGAGGCGAGCATTGAGTATCACACCCTTGAGTTTTTCAGCAATAAGGCCTCAACAGGTAGCTGTGGATGGAAGAAAGAAGAAGACTCCACAAGAGTGGAAGAAGAAGGAAAGTCGTTTAATGATGGTTGATTCTGATGGGAATCAAACCGAGATCGACGACCTTTTTTAACTTGTGGAGGAGATAGAGATAGGCAGCGAGGAGAGTGCAGAGGGTAGCAACCTCGCCGCCATAACTAAAGGAAAGGCAGTTGGCCGCGGGAAGGCCGATCAACAAAAGAGTCGGGGGCCGACACAATTCAAACGAGGCTCCAACTTGGGCGAGGACTAACTTGGATCAAGATGTTTGGAGGGACCGATATTCGCGAGGGGTTTGCATTAAATGCGGCGAGTATGGCCACCAACAGTTCAAGTGCTAGATTGCGAAGGTTTCTCAAAAGATTGCGCCCAATGGTGGTTTTGGGGGATCTTTCACCCAGAGTGGTGTGCCACCCAGGGAAACACATCTGACCAGTAGAAGTGGTAGCTGCTTCTACTCATGCTGAAGTGGTTGGTGTACCTTCACCACTTCAGGAGTTGGCCGAAGCTATCGACTCATTAGTCACCCCACAGACCCATCTAGACCAAACGACACTATTCGTTGAATGTGTCTGAAGCCTTAGAAGACTTAGAAATCGAGTGGTCAGCAAGGGACCCTCACGAGTCTTGGGTGGCATTGTCCAAAGGTCCTAAAGGGGAGCATTTCATTGTAGAACTCAGTGTAGGTGGCTCAAGTGTGGTGCCTTCGTAGACATTGGCTCTACATGAAACTTCATAAGTCGCGACTGTGTGGAGAGACTGCGCCTAGGGGGCCGGGTGCAACGTTTGAGTAGACCCATAGCATCTACTCTAGCCAAAAAAAAAAGCGCATGTTAGTCAAGGACTCGTCAAGGATGTGGTCTGTACCTTCTCTTATGGAGATGGGAACTTAATCACCAGGTTTCGTTCCTAATTAGAGACGATTTGCCTTTCGACATGTTGTTAGGTATGTACTACCTCGAGGTTGCCAAGCCCCAGTTCGACTGAGATCGAAAAGTGCTTAAGCATGTGTTACCTAATGGGAGAACCGTTAGACTAAGTCTAGAGCTCGTAGGTCAGCTGACTCCTATGGGTGTATGTGTGCGAGTGCATGTTATAATTACTACAAACAAAACCAAGAGGAGGGCTGCGTAGCATTCTGTTCGCGTTTAGTCTTCGAACGCGAACGGGTCCCAAAACCC